TTTTTTAATTTGTGGTTTTTCCTCATTCACGGGGTCCTTCACACCTAACCCCAGCAAATGTAGAGGGACCACTGTATATTGTGTTTCACGATCCACAAAAGAGCACCCACATATCTATCAATGTTACAGAGAGGCTACTTGAGGTACATATGCCTCCAGACAAAGTTTCTTCCAAAAATTTCAGGGCACATCTGGATCCTCCGTTAACTACTGGCACTTTAGCACTGGATGGACTCCTGCTGCTGCAGGGTTTGTGCCTGACAAGACTTGGCTTAGTAACAAATTGCTAGTGGAAGATTTGGCAACAACTGACTGCTTCTTTAACCCTAAGATATTTCAAAACAGCATGGAGGAAAAACCAGGTATATATGCATTCAACTCTGCATTCCTGGGCAGAAATAACACCATACTTAATAAGGTAAAGGTACCAATTACCCTTCCTCTCCCTGCAAAAATTCCCTTTACTCCGGAGATTCTTAAAAGTTATCCTCCAGCAGTTTTGGATTTCAGCTCCCAGAATTCCTGACCTTTGGCCATGCTAGCTGGGGCTTCTGGGAGTTGAAGTCCAAAACAGCTGGAGTGCCAAAGTTTGAAGTGAGGAAATAGAAGCAAGTGTAATTACTCTGGATAGATTTAATGCTGTGCAAGGTTTGTATAAAGTTTTGCATAGCACTTTTAATATATTTTAAATTTTAGTGCATAATATCTTTAACTTTTTTTTAAAAAAAAATTAAAACTCTGTATTTATGTTTTAATGGTTTTAACTTGTAGTGTTTGAATGTTGTTAGCCGCCTTCAATCCCTATACTAGGAGAAAGGCAGGATATAAATATATAAATAAAATCATCATCATCATCATCTATTTTACTTGATGCAACTCACTGTGCCACATTTGGATTTAAGAAAACAGGAAGCAGATAGCTGTGATGATTCAAATCAAGAATTTGTATGCCTTCTTACCCCAGACAGGTTATATATATCATGCTAGACCTTCTTGCTACTGGAGCTTGATCTTTTCTGTAACAGGTTATCCATTCATCAAATTCAACCACATTGTTAGTTATTTATTGCCAAGGGTACAGGTTAGTTAGCCACCAAGATGACGAAGAGAACTGGCAGCCAAAGCCAAAGCTCCCAGTTCTAATTCTGTTAAAAATAGGCCTACTGAATTTCATTTATGGAATTTCTGTAAATATTGACTCATCAGTCAACAATCAATTCAACGGGTTTGTTTGGGTTGGGAATAACAAAGAGGATTCAGGTCAACATAAAAAATGACAAACATTGAGGATAGAGTTCTGGGACCTAATCCCACTGAAATTGAAGTAAACTTTTTCTGAAACAGAAAACAGGGACCCAAACGCAATCCCCAAATCAGGTTTGCAGAAGAACCAAGAAATATGTACAATAAACTGCAACTCCAACAGGTCCCGAGAAGCTATCTGTTTGGCAAATTTCTAAGTAAGACGTTGTTGTTGCTGTGTGCCTTCACATTGGGTGGCCTTGGGCAAGACACACTTTCTCAGCCTCAGAGGAAGGCAAAGGCAAGCCCCCTCTGAAGAAAGCTGTCAAGAAAACCCCATGATAGGTTCACCACCTTAGGGTAAGCAGAAATGACTTGAAGACACACAACAACAACAGAAACACAACTTTCAAAGCATGGGAAAACACACCAGAGAGGTTAGGCTGAATTCAAGTGCATCACTGAACCCTGTATTTATTGGAGTAACTTTAAAACATCCAGAAATATTAAGCTGCAAAACCAAAAGGCATCAGTTTCTGTCTTCTTCAGCAGCTATGACATACAGAATGTGTGGGTCAGTATACTCTCTTTGGTCCAAAACACACTGCAGAAATAATCCAGTCTGAGACCGCTTTAACTGCCCTGGCTCAATGCTAGAGATTTCCAGGAACTGTAGTTTTGTGAGACATCCAGCCTTCTTTGTCAGGGAGTGCTGGTGCCACAATAAACTATAATTCCCAGGATTCCCTAGCACTGAGCCAGGGCCATTAAAGCGGTCTCAAACTGGATTATTTCTGAAGAGTGTTTTGGACCATTTTTGTTGTTAGAATCACAGGGTTGGAAGAGACCACAAGGGCCATCCAGTCCAACCCCCCTGCCATACAGGAACTCACATTCAAGTCATTTCCGACGCATGGCGAACCTTAAGGCAGACCTATCATGGGGTTTTCTTGGCAATTTTCTTCAGAGGGGGTTTGCCACTGCCATCCTCTTTGGCTGAGAGAGTGTGACTTTCCCAAAAACACCCAGTGGGTTTCCAGAGCCAAGCCAGGATTCGAACTCTGGTCTCCAGAGTTCTAGTCCGACGCTCAAACCACTACGCTGCTCTGGATTTGTATAAGCAAGATCTCCACATCTGTAATTCAAGCACAGAGACATTACTAACCAGGCTACTACTTGTTTTCTGAATATTCAGTCATCTGATTGACTCACACAACCCCTTCGGGGCAGAGCAGCTGGGGACAAGAGCAGCAACCATCTGAGGTGAAACTCACTTCCATCAGCATGTTTATTTGTTGGGGGCGGTGAGGATGCACATCCCTCCACATCCTTCTCCCCCTTCCCACATCACAAACCAGTTTGCAACTCACTGACCTTTCAAGGTGCAAGGGCTAAGATTGACCAATCCATATCCTATTACTCTTGCAAGGGAGCCAGTGGACTATAGTCCAAAGCACACTGCAGAAATCATCCAGTTTGAGACCCTTTAACTGCCCTGGCTCAGTGCTAGGGAATCCTGGGATTTGTAGTTTGTTGCAGCACCCAAGCTCTCTGACAGAGAAGGCTCAATGTCTCACAAAACTACAGTTTCCAGAATTCCCTAGCACTGAGCCAGGGCAGTTCAAACGGTCTCAAACTGGATGATTTCTGCAGTGTGTTTTGGACCTATGTCTCTGGAGGGTTCGATTCCCAGCTCAGCCATGAAACCTGCTGGGAGACCCTGGGTATGTCACACTCTCTCAGCCTCAGAGGAAGGCAATGGCAAACCTCCTCTGAACCTCTCCATCTTTGGAGGTTTTTAAGCAGAAGCTGGATGGCCATCTGTCGGGGGTGCACTGATTGTGAGTTCCTGCATGGCACAGGTTTGGATTGGATGGCCTCTGGGGTCTCTTCCAGCTCTATGATTCTATGAAATCTTGCCAAGAAATCCCATGATAGATTTGCCGTAAGTCAGAAAGGACTTGAAGGCACACAACATCAACAACAAATTACTCTTACAATACTCTCCACTTACACATGTTTTCATTAGATTAAGGGCAGCCAACTTAAATTAAATTAAAGGGAAATTCAACCAAGTTCTCCAAAGGAAGGGCAGGAATAACTAATATGCATGCCACTTACTCCACCTATCTGTACCCCCTACTACGAGGATCCTCTGTTTCTTATCTTGCACTTGAAACATGCCAGGAAAAGAAAAAGATAAGATGACTGTTGTGTGCAGCAGGTGGTTAGCAGAGCTCTACTTTTGCATTTTAACTTCCTCCACTATAGGATCTTCTGAAGAGAAGGACAGATTCCTATTTCTTTCCTGGGTCCCTTTCAGTGGCAACTTTTTATAATGGCAATAATCCTGAATTCCAGCCGGATTTTCACAGGAAAGTAAAAGATGACACTCCTTTGACTGTTGTTGCTGTTTTTGTGTGCCTTCAAGTGTTTTCTGACTTACGGTGACTCTACCACAGCATTTTCTTGGCAAGATTGGTTCAGAGGAGGTCTGCCATTGACTTCCCTTGAGGCTGAGAGTATGTGGCTTGCCCAAGGTCACCTAGTGGGTTTGACATGGCCGAGCCGGGATTCGAACCCTGGTCTCCAGAGTCGTAGTCCAATGCACAAACCACTATGCCACGCTGGCTCTCTCAGAGGTGGGGTACAGCAAGTTAAAATACAATTAAAAACACATAAACACACAATTAAAATACAATACTATAAAACCATTAATACTATACTATAGGTAAAGCCATTAAAATACACTTACCAACCTTAGATAGCTTCAGAAGAGCTACATTAGAGTCCCTGATGTGTGAACCTTCCATATATTTTGACCTACATTTCTCAAAATCCACGGCTGAGGCTGCTGGGAATTCAAGTCGAAAAGAACTGAAGGGCCAGAAGTTCCTCACTTTTGCCCTAGTAACTTTTAGGCCATTTTAGCCCTATATCTAAGACTAAGCCCTAATTGAGTTTAGGAAGGATACAAGTGACCTAAATACCGTGAATGCACCACATGCCATTTGATCCAAGCTAAGCAGGGTCAGCCCTGGTTAGAACATGGATGGGAAACCGCCAACGAATCCCAGGTGCTGTAGGCTGAATTTCAGAGGAAGAAACTGGCAAAATCACCTCTGAGTCTTCCTTGCCTAACAAAAAACCTGTGAAATTCACGGGGGTCACCATAAAAGTCATATTTTAACTTTGGGCCTTTGCAGACTGCTAGAAATAGTGCAAATTGAGTCCACTTTAACTGCCCTGGCTCAGTGCTAGGGAATCATGGGAATTGTATTTATTTCTGAGACATTGAGCCTTCTCTGTCAGAGAGCTCTGGTGCCACAATAAACTACAGTTCCCATGATTCCCTAGCACTGAGTCAGGGCAGTTCAAGTGGACCCAATTTGCACTATTTCTGGCAGTCTGCAAAGGCCCTTTTTGTATGTTTTTAATGCCAATTTGATACTGTATTAATGTGATGGTTTTAAACTTGTTTAAAATTTATTTTTACCTTCAAGACAGGTTACAAATTACAATATATTATGATACATTTCTAAATTATTTTCACTAACATAGTTGCTTTGTAGTCTTTCAGCTTCAGTAAACAAATTGGAAATCATTTGCTTTCTACACTGCTTTATTTAGGCTCTTTTCATAAAAACTATGACTCCCATTGGTATTCTTGAAAACTGTAACTATTACATTCCTCTTATCGACTCCCTATTACTGTATTTGAAATCTCTGTCTCTTCAGTTTGCAAATAATTATTCATTAATATCTGAACTATTCCGGAGAGTTTGTTTCTAAGATGTGCAATGATATTATTATTGTTACCCATATTTTAATAAGTTGCAAGTTATTATTTAAGACAACCTCTTTTTTTCCCCCGGAAAACAAGTGATTAATTTCCAAACCTTGCCAAGAAAACC